TGCAAGGAATATGTCAGCAAGGATTACCTGGAGATCTCTCCCCCCCAATTAAGTGCAAGCCAAGCTCATTTAGTGATTTATGATTCAACCATGAAGTTTAAATGTATGGTCCAAACACAGCCTCTGAGTTGGCAGGAACTCCAGATTTTGGGCCCTAATTCTCCCAGCGCCATCCTTTCCCCCCACCCAGACTTCACCAAGCCCACCCCACCATCTCCCTTCCAGATCCTTCCCCTCCAACCTCTCCCTGCATTAGGGCAGCCCCATATGCTGCTAGTGAAAGGTTGCAGCAGGTGCGTAGTGCTGCGGAAGAACGTTACTCTGTTTTCACAGCAGCACACTGCCATGAATAAACTGTAAGTGTGACCAGGAAATGCCATCTGCCACCCTTCTGGAGATGCATTTGAATGGTTCCCACACATTTTCAGAGCTGACTAGAGTTCAAACAATTTATGCTAATTGGGTACGAGTGGGAGGATGTGGAACTAGGCAGAAATCTTGGGCAATCTGGCAATTTTGTTTCCACGCTGGAGAGCCAGTGGTGTTTATCCCAAGATGGCCATATTGAGAAGGAACTATCTAGTGATGAACACCTCCCCCAACGGGAATCCTTTGCAGAACAGCTGAGATTTCTCTCTAGAGTCCCATATTCCGTCCACTCACCAACTCTTCAATGCACTTCCATAACTAACCTAGATGGACAGGAGTAAAGGCCAATGTTTTCTGATATTTTTAGGTTTATTTGCAGGTTGCCTGTTGGGAAAACCTACAAACGAGGCTTAAAGAAAGGATCCTGCAGAAAGTGGCTCTCCAACTTTTAGCATTCAGAGATAAACTATTTTTGAATATGGATCCTCTGTTTAATTGGCTTTTCCTAACAGTATATTCTTGTGGAGCTGTTTGACCTTTTTTTAAAAAAAAAAAAAAAAAAAACAGTGAGCAGCTAACACTATAAGCTGATGTAGCAAAGTCCAGGGATTAGGAAAATCATTAGCAAAAATCACCGACCCAGGAGCTTTTTAAAAATTATTTATTTACTTAGTCATCCAATGTATATGGCTGTCCATCTCACGAAAAAGTGACTCTGGGCAGTGTACAGTAAGACTATAAATCAGTTAACATAGAAAAAACATTATTTTTTAAAAAGTTTTAAAAATCACAAAGGCTAAGAGTGGACAACAGATGTTAACAACAATGGAGCCACCTCAGTACCTCACTGATCTGGTAACCTGCATAACCCGGTTTAGAGGGACTTCTGGAAAATTAACAGGGATGGAGCCATCCTCACTTCGGAGGGTAGGATGTTCCAGAAGGTGGGTGGCACCTTATGGAACATAAGGTGGCACCCCAGAGAACATAAGGTGGAACGTAAGGTGCCACCACAGAGGAGGCCCACCTCCTGGAACCTGCCACGTATAGCTCCCTAGCAGACAGGACTCGTAGCATGCCTCTTCTGCCAGATCTGATGGGACAGGCAGATATAATTGGGGAGAGGCGGTCGCTCAGATAACCCAGCTCCATGCCATGGAGGGCTTTAAAGGTCAAAATCAGCACCTTGAATTGGACCTGGAAGCAGACTGGCAACCAATGCAGCTCGTGGAGCAGAGCATGTGCTGTTCTAGCGACACACAGAACTGCCCGTGCTGCTGCATTTTGCACCAGCTGAAGCTTCCTGATATTCTTCAAGGCAGCCCCATGTAGAGTGCCTTACAGTAGTCCAATCGGGAGGTGACTAAGGCATGAGTGACCGTGAGCAGAGCCCCCTGATCTAGGAATGGGCACAACTGGTGCACAATACAAAGTTGTACAAAGCTCTCCAAGCCATGACTACTGCCACCTGTTCTTCAAGCAGGACTCAACCAGGAGAACCCCCAGGTTGCACACTGGGTATGTTTGGAGCAGTGTGACCCCATCCAACACCAAAGATGGCATAGTCCTAGAACCATAGTCCAAAACCCAAAGCCACTCAGTTTTGCCAGGGTTCAGTGAAGCCTGTTGTTTCCCATCCAGACCCTCATAGCTTCCAGACACTGGGGTGAGACATCCACAGCATTGCTTAATTTGTTAGGGGCAGAGATGTATAATTGGGTATCATCAGCATACTAATAATATCTCATCCCATGGTGACGGATGAGCTGACCCAGCTGCCTCATCTAGATATTGAATAGGAGTGGAGAGAGCACCAAATCCCACATCTTAGGAGCCGAGGGTGGGATCTCTCCCCCCCTCCCCCCAGTCATCACCAACTGGAACTGACCCCGGAGAAAGGAGGCGAACCAGCACGACACAGCGCCACCCACCCCCAATCCTCTGAGCCAACCCAGAAGGATACCAGGGTCAGTGGTATCGAAAGCCACATAGAGGTCAAGTAGGGCAAGGATGGATGCACAAACCCCATCCCGCCCTCACCAGAGATCATTCAAAAGTGTGACCAATGCTGTTTCCACCCCATACGCAGTTCCTGATTGAAAAAGATCCAGATAATCCGCTTCATCCAAGGTCGTCTGAAGCTATTGCGCAACTCCTCCTCAAGCACCTTCCCCAAAAAGGGGAGGTTAGATACTGGACAAATATTGTCCAGTATAGTGGGGTCCAGCAATGACTTCTTGAGGAGGGGGTGAGCCAAGGCCTCCTTAAGAGGTAAAGGAACAGCCCCCTCACTCAAATAAGAATTCACTACTGCTAAAACCTACTCACACAACACCCCCAGGGCCACCTTAACAAGCCAGGAGGGGTGTGGATCTAAAGAGCAGGTGCCTGAGCTCGCAGTCCTAAGGAACCTGTCCACTTCCTCAGGCCCAACAGGTTCACACCCAGATTCCCAGATAATCAGGCAAAGCTCCTCCCCAGGCATCTCTCCCGGACCTGCAACAAGGCCAACATCAAACTGCGAGTGAATTCGAGTGACTTTGCCCAACAGTTGCTGAACAAATTCCTGTGCATGCCCTTGCAAGGGGTTCTCTGAGCCCCTTCTACCCAAGAGGGCATGTGTCACCTGAAATAGGGCTGTAGGATGGCTATCCACAAAGGCAATGAGGGCAGAGAAGTACGGACATTTCACTGCCCTTACTGCCACAAGGTAGGCCTTAATAACAGCTCTAACCCATGTTTGCTCAAGTTTGTCTCCTGTTGACTGCCAGTGGCACTCTAGATGTCTCTTCTCTCATTTCATCTCCCTCAGCTCTTCCATGAACTACAGAGAGTGATGGGATCCACAAGAGGGGAGAGGTCACATAGGCGCAGTCCAATCCAGAACCTCAGCCACCCCCTATTCCGAGTGGCAAGCAAGTCTTCAGATGGACCGTGCAGCAGACCAGCAGGAAAAGCCCCCATCTCCTTCTGAAACTCACCTGGGTCCATCAGTCACTGCGGGTGGACCGATCTAATGGGTCCAGCCCCCCTGCAGTGGATAATGGCACTAGAGAATCCCATGGTAATCAAGGCATGATTTGACCGTGTCAAGGGAGACACCAAGAAGTCCCCAATTTCAGATCACACAGCCATTGCTTCGACAGGAACACCTGATCTGGTGTATGACTACTGTCCCATGTCAGGCTCTGGATGACCTGGGATAGGCCTATGACCATCATGGAGGCAATGAACTACGCTGCTTCAAACCCCACTCCTAGAGAAGGCAGATTGAAGTCCCCCAAGACCATAAGTCTGGGGAACTCCACTGCCAACCCAGAGATGGCATCAAGGAGCTCAGGCAGGGAGGTTGCTATGCAGCAGGGAGGCTGGTACAACAGCAACAGTCCCAGTGATCCCTAGAGCCCAACTTAATGAACAGGGTCTCACATCTGGTAACATGTGGTGCAGTACCTCTGAAAGCTGTAAGAGATTCCTGGATGATGATCACCACACCTCCATCCCTGCCCCAGGGTCTCAGCTGATGCCACACCCAAAACCCAGCTGAGCCTATCTCTGAAAGGCCACTCTCCCCTCCCTTCCAGACCCAGCCAGGTCTCTGTAATACATGCCAGGTCAGCCCTCTCTTTGACAATTAAATCGCAAATGAGGGAGGCCTTATTGACCTGACCTGGCATTTAGAAGCAGCAGCCAAAAGCCGGGGCCTCTGAAGGTCTCTGACTGGGCACAGGGGCTGAGACCAAGGAGGTGGAACACGAAACCAGTATAAGATATTGGCCCCGTGTTTCCCGAGAACGGTTCTCTCCCTATCTCCCACCGTATCTCCCCTTGCCTGTCACCACCATACTACTTTGGCCTTTTTAGAGCACACTTGGCCATTTGAGGTTACAGTTTGGCAGTTTCCAGACATAAATTCTCTGAATCAAAAACTTTTTGAGGCATTCTAGACCTGGCATTTCAGAAAGGTCCAGAATACATCCTGCAGGTTAGCTCACTTCCTCTTCAATGGGTGGCTGTGCCCATTACAACAGCCATTTGGTGAATGTGCCTGCCCCATGCTTTCCAATATTTCAAATGTCCTTCCAAAAGAGACATTTATACCCTTGGAATAGGCATTGTTTTTGTTGTATTTACGTTACCCACTGTGGTCAAAGCACTGGTTTGATTCCTTTGTAGTACTGTAGAGTACCACAGGAAACGGAACATAGCAGTTACTAAAACATGAATTAAGCAGGCGTTAGAAAGAAACTTACGGTGAGCCCACCTTGACTCTCTTTGGTATGAGAGGGAGGGAGGAAAATACTATCAGGCTTTCAAGATTTTGCTAGTATAGTCGATTTCAATAAAGTAGAGGCCCAGTCAACCCTGTGGAGACTGTTTTCGGATAGGGCCTACCTCAAAGTGTCAACAAGTATGCAAGACGTTACTCAGCGGAAAATCAACCTTTATCAGAAAGCAGAAAAACTAGCAAAACTGCCTGAAAGGAAGCATTTTAATCTGAACCGGAGAAGCATCTCAATTCTAGTTCCTTCCGATGCTGCTGGAGATGAGAAGATCTGCAATCAGAGAAAGGCATGAAGGCCCAGGACTCTCTCACACACAAAAACAGAGGAAGAAATAAGAAGCCTTACCTCTTTCTGATGATACTTTATTGCTACCTTTAGCTTGGCCAAATCATGGCACTTCTGGGGATCTAACTCCTCGCTCTGATCATCCCTGTGATTCAAGATGATCTCCAGTTCCCGGGAGCTGCGTGCCTGATCCAGAAGGTCTTTTGCAAACCGCTTACACTGCTGTGAAAGCTCCTCGTATTCCGCCTTGAACTCGTTCTCCACCTTGCTGAGTTCCTTCAGCTCCCAACCCAGCCGAAAGGCTGTCAGGATTGGATCCTCGCTAGATAAGGCGATGAGTGAAGGACTGGCCAAAGCTTTATAAATGTTCAGCCTTGATCGGGAATGCCTCAGGCTATCCACTTCGGAGCTGGAGACGCATTCCACGCAGTTGCATCGGATCTGGTGTGGCCGTGGGATGGTGACCCGTCTTTGGACAAGCAGCTTTATGATCTCGTAGTTGTTAGTATGAGCAGCCAACATGATAGGGGTGATGTCGGGGGTGAATTCCGAAAACTGGGTGTCCATCATTAACGTGGGAACCTATGCAAAATCAGTCAGGCTGTTAAAATCTTTCCTGCACAAGTGCTCTAAAACCACGGCATGTCAACAGGAATGTTCCTATGGATCATACAACATCTGTTTCACCTCACTAACAGTGAAATAGCGTTTAAAAATATACCCCATAAGACTCCTATGAATCCCAGATTGGAAAATTGGATAAACATTCCAAAAGATGACCAACTGTTGCCATACCGTTGCCAAGAAAACTACACGGACTGTTCATGAAATCATCCAGAATCAAGCTTGACTTGAGGAAGTAGTCTTTTTGTCCTCAGCAGCTGGCAGTAAGTAGCTGACCTTGGCTGATCTCAAACAGCTAATCAGAGGCAAACCTGGTTAGTATTTGGAAGGCAAACCATCAGCAAATCCCCGGATTGCAGGCTAGGTGGGAAAGTTAAATTTAAACTTAAATTTAAAGTTTAAAAAAAAGATCTTGGAAGAAAACAACAACCCACTGCTTCTATACTTGGGCTAAGAAAACAACATTGACATGGATGTGGAGTCACAAAAAAACACACTCAACTCCGATGATACTTTGCCTTAGAACAGGCAGTTCTGAGTGGTACCTAAAAGAAGGGGACCAATCTGCCTCATCCCATGACCCACCTTTCAGGGAACAATCCTCCTTTTGGAGGCATTTACCCAGTCCAGGTTTGGTTCCAAGAACCCCAGAATAGGACAACACAACCTTTGAGGTTGACATCAACATTTATCACTTGGACAACAGGATGAACAAATGGTACCATTGTGCACCTGGTCAGAATCCACCTTGCTTTAGTAAAGCAAATTATGCATTTAAATTAAATTTATTAATTCTAAATTCACAGCTGTTCATCTAGAGTGAGGTATTCAAGCTGTATGCAAATCTGGGTCCTATTTTGTTCCCAGTAAAGCACAGACTAGTTCACCAAGCATCTGGGTAGAATCCAAATGAGGAAACCTTTACGAGAGATTTCTCTACCAAAAGTAATCCTTTTTGCATTTCTTTTCTCTTCCATCAGCTTCCTCCATCTCCAAAGACTTTCACAAGGCCTTAGTGAAACCCTACAGAATATTCACTAACCCAGTTCAATCAGTATGAAGCTAATTTGCTCAAAGTCAGAAAGTGATGCTTCAAGCTTAAGGAATTATGAGACTTTTGGGGACCTAGCAGCTCAACGTTCAGAGAGTGGGACGAGGAAGGGACAACGTGAGAATCCCAGGTTCATAATGTGAATGTAGAGGTGGTGTCAACAAGCTGCTGCACCTCTGATGACAGCCTGCGTTGAGGTTCAGTTCCTC